ACCGCTGACACGTCAAGTATGTTACGCGTCACCGCTGACACGTCAAGTATGTTACGCGTCACCTCTGACACGTCAAGTATGTTACGCGTCAACTCTGACACGTCAAGTATGTTTCGTGTCACCTCTGACACGTCAAGTATGTTACGTGTCACCTCTGACACGTCAAGTATGTTACGTGTCACCGCTGACACGTCAAGTATGTTACGTGTCACCGCTGACAACCCAGAATTGTGGGCTGGTGTTGTGCCAAAAATCGATTAGCTACCAAATGGCGACCGTGGGATCGAGCACGGGAGGACTAACAATAATTTAACAAGATTAACACTTTAAATTAATTATTTGTTTGCTCAACATTATATTTAAGGTGTGTCTCAGTTGAACTTCTACTTAATAAATGCACTTGAATGGTCAAATCAGCTGCATTTCGCCTGGGCGGCGCAGCGAAATGCAGCTGATTTGACGTTTGCTCCAGGAGTTCCACAACGAGACGAAGGTGGCTCTGTATGGCAAGCCAAGTGTCTCATTAATAGCCACTTTTACCTATTAATGAGACATTTGGCTTGCCATATTAGTTGAGGACCTTCTAGTGGCTGAAAATGGTAGTGTTCAATATTTTCCATGTCAGAATGAATGAAATCGTCAGATCTCAGACAAACAATTGTTATAAATATGGGAAAAATAAACATAAAAACATAGTTTTGTTGTATAAGTCGCAGGCAAGAAAAAACAAACTGTAACTTATACAGCGAAAATTACGGTAGACTAAATAAGAAAAAAATGTCTTTAACATTGAATCTGTTGCTCTTGGCAGCAAATCTTTCAGAGGTTTTATTGCTAAAATATTTAATATTGTTGGTGTTTCGGCTCCTAGAACTTGCTCAGGGAGTTGAATTTTGCACCTCAGAGAAAATAACTGTCCCGTTGTCCTAAAATGTCCCCTCTGTCCATCGTCCCAGTTTAATCTCGGGCCATCTGACTTGTGTTTGTCTGCAGGTAAGAAGAAGCCGGTGCTCAAGCTCAACAAGGAGGTGTTTGAGCAGCCAGCACCTGCTGCCGTGTAAGAAGCATTCCTGACACGCTCACTTTGATCCTGCACACTTATCGATCCCTCGCCTCCTGATTTGGACACACCTGCTTTGTTCAGACTGTCAGACTGCTGAACATGTGAAACATAAACAGAAGCAAGCAGGAGGAAACTGTTCAGGCTTCAGCTGCACGTTCTTCACAGAAAACACACCGATGCTCTACATGACCTGAGAACTCTGTTGTTTTCTGAGATGACATGCAGCTGCTGACTGTTTGTCCTAATACATTTCTACAAGTTTCTTTAAAGAAAAGAGTATAGAGATCACGGCTCTGCAGTTTCCTCCTCAAAGGTCCAGTTGAACCAGTTTGGATGAAAATGACGCGTGTCTTTGTGTTTCAGACCCCCCAGAGATTTGGACTCAAAGGCTTGTGTAACAATCGGAGAGAAGGTAATTTGCTTTTTGTCCCCTCAGTGTTTTCTGTTTGTCCCAGCGCCTCGATGAGGCCCCCCCTCCTCGTCTGTCAGTTTACTGTGGATCCGCTCCGGTCCAGGCTCCGTCCGCCCCGCTGGACGTTACAGCCGTCCTCTGATTGTGAGGAGACTGGAGTGCTCCTTAATAAAATAAAATATTTATTGAAAACTCATCAAATAGGAGGAATTTTCCACTGCAGAGATGTTGGTTAGTCTGGACTTGTCCTCACGTTTGAATCTTTAGAAGTTGGCGTTTGTGAGGGACGTCAGTCCAGGTCTAAACGAGGACTGACCGCATCAGGAGAAACCTCATGTTGTCGTGTCGTTGTGTCCGGAGCAGAAATGTGAGGTGAAGGCGGACGAACTGGAGCAGATCTGTGAACTGGGCCGAGGAGCGTATGGAGTGGTGGACCAGATGAAACACGTCCCCTCTGGTCTCATCATGGCTGTGAAGGTGAGAGCGCCACCGTGACCCATGTGTCCCATTTGAGCAGAGAACTGTTTGTTCATCAGCAGAACCCAAACACTGAGCAGTTCTGTGTCCTGCGGTTCTGTTGCAGCGGATCCGGGCTACAGTGAACACTCAGGAGCAGAAGAGGCTGCTGATGGACCTGGACATCTCCATGAGGACGGTGGACTGTTTGTACACCGTCACCTTCTACGGAGCGCTCTTCAGAGAGGTACCATCACAACCGACCGCTAATCTGCAAATCTGTAATTCATTTGTCATGACTCAGCATCTGTCAGGCGAAATTAAAACGTTTTAATTTTCCTTAATGGCGACTAACACGCAGCTGTCAGTTCAGACCAGAGCAACTAAACGTTAGATATTACACTGAAATATCGACCCTACTGATATATCAGCCTGAAATATCGAACCTACTGATATATCGGCCTAAAATATCGACCCTACTGATATATCGGCCTGAAATATCGAACCTACTGATATATTGGCCTGAAATATCGAACCTACTGATATATTGGCCTGAAATATCGAACCTACTGATATATTGGCCCTACCGATATATCGGCCCTACTGATATATCGGCCCTACCGATATATCGGCCCTACTGATATA